CCAAAATAGTAGCTGCTTCATCTGCATGACAACTTCATACTATTATTTAATTCTTAAGTTGTGATAACATGTGATACCCTCAATAAGAAACAGGACATTTTGTTGTAAGACTTCATAGGCACATAAACTACAAACCCATCTCTTTGAGAAAGGGCTTACCATCCAAAATGAAGATTTAATCAGCTCAAGTCTTCCCATTTTGCCCAGTAACTTTCTGATTACAAAACCATGAGGATAGAGTGCAAAACACATGTAGGTTAAGTAATTTTAAATAACTAATTATCCATATCCAGCCATGCTGGATTTGGGGTTTAATTGCTTCAGACACACAAGCTTTTTCTCCAGTTACCTTTTCACAGCCCACAAACACAATTTTCTGTTAAAGTAGCATTGTCCTGAAAATTCACTATAATGAATTTTCTAGTCTGAGCACACTGACCCAGTTCTAAGTCAAAAGTTTTTTTATACAGCTAAGTAAAACTTAGTAAATCATAAGTGAACAATATTGGCCTAGTATAACAAGATTCTCATAAAGAAGTAGAAGTTGAATGCTCAGCTCCTGAAAAACCCATCTCTACACTTTACAGATAAACAACTGGAAACTGCAGACCTCTATTTCCAAAATCCATATAAAATTCTGTACATTTGACTTAACATTTAGCTGTAGCTTTCTGATTCATAAAATCATAAATAAAATTATTTGCTTATTTTCCCCTTGAAGTAGCTGCAAAGTGCTGAAAATTTACCACCAATCATGGAGCACTGAATCAGTTTTCAACTAACATTTCTTTATTTTATTTTATAGAGCATCAGGTTAAAAAATGACCCATGTTTCTGCGGCAGTCTCTCTCCTGTATGCATAGCAGCAAAGAAATAAAAAACATGAGTACTTATTATTTTGTTAAATATGTGTGACTAAATGAAGTTACAAAAAAAAAAAAAAAAAGAAAATCTCTGCAATTCACCATAAAAATTTCATTTCCAAAAAGAGCCAGTAAAGCTGTCAAAGAAAAAAAAATAATTTCTATGGTATATACTATTAGACCATACATAAATGAAACTGCACATACATCAAGACTCAAATAACTATATAAATACATCCTAAATTTCCTGAGACAGTGGATCATATACAGACAAGATATGCATTCCAAAAAGATTTTTCTTTAAGAAGAATACGAAAGGGAAGATGAAAGAATAGTGGGGAAATGTTTAAAATATTATTAAATTGAAACAAAACCCACAGGATTATGCTGAAATATTAGACAATACAAAGCAAATGAAAGCAAGGGATGACACAGTCATTTTGGCCCTGATTCAGGAAATCACTTAAACACATGTATAAGAACGTCTTAGTTCGGGAAAAAATGTAAACACAATCTTAAAGTTCAGTATGATGAGATTTTCACCTTCACTCTGGCCCCTGCATCCTGGATCCAGCAGCTGGAGTAGTGGGAGGAGATGCTAGAAGTCCTCTGTGCAGCAAGGGCAGGTGAAAAGGTCTCCTGGCAGATGAACTGAGCTTGATGGCCCTCCAAGGTGGGGTGTGGGAGGGTGTCTGAATGAGGGCACACCTACGCGCTCCCAGAGCGCTGGGATTTCCGTACAGATCACACTTCATAGAGTGCACGAGGGAGGCTGCCTGATCTGCATTGGCCAAAAGCTCTTGTAGGCAGCACAAACTCCCGAGAGCATAAAGATATTTTTATGTGACCTTTGTCCCTTCTTCTAGTTCTTCTGTGCTTCTCCCCTTAGAAATGCAGTAGATTCTCACTTCAAGAGCTTAAGTGCCACTGGCTTAAACTGGAGTTGGGCGCATGTCTAAGGTCAGAGAATAAGAGTACTTTTGCACCTTGGGGTGAGCAATAAAGATAATGTTTCCACTGTTTTCAGCAAGCAGAAAGAGATAGAAATGCTGTACTTAAATGTGTGGAAAAGGACAAACTTTTGCTGTTTCTCTTAATTAACCCACTACGAAAAAATAACAATGAAAACATTCTTTGCATTTCTCAGGCACTGCAGATAAAAGGAGTTACATCAAGTACAGTTATACATCCTAGATGGTGAGTACTTCTTGCCAGAAGCATTCAAGCAGATTGTAACCTGTTCTTTATCTCTTTAAAAATACTTAAGTTAAAACACTTATTTCTGAATGTCCTTTATCTGTCATGTCTGTCCATACTGTTATCAAACTAGTAAGTATATTATTCAGATTTTGGGATCAAAATCCAGGGAAGGTTGTTATGGATTGTGCTAAGATAATAATTTTGTACTTCCCATATGTTTTATGCTACATCTAGTACAAAAAGAAATTCATTCAAGTTTATATTTAGGGTGAGAGAATGATAATATAGTGGTTGTGTGATGGCTGCTTATACAGAGTAATCTTAACTTCAGGAATTTCCTCACTTCTTGGAGTTTCTGATTGCAGCTTCAACAACAGAACAGCCTGTTTACCCTATCTGTTGAGCAGCAAGGCACTCTTCTGTATTTTATGCTACAGTTTCTGCATCAAACTTTCTAGCTACTTTTTTTCCTATTTTGTAGGTAGCTTTAAGGAGTTATATGAGAACAAAAAAAGCAGAAGATAATCATGTTTTACAAAATGTAAGCCACTAAAGAACAAAAACTCCTTGATCTACCCTAAGGACCCCCACACTCACCAGTACGGATTAGTTCAGCTGTTTCTGAACTTCTGTTTCTGAACCACTCTTCTTATGTATCTATTACTTTTCGCTGGATTTGCCAGTAGACCATAGAAATTTAAAACCCTTAAAATACCAACCCAAATAAGACTGGAGGATCTTTGCAAATGTTATTAAAACACAAAATGGTTGTGTAATAGTACACCTTTGCATCATTATGGAAAATAATATTCTAGTTCCCTCTCAGTTATGCTACATCCTATTCACAACATGAAAGCAAGAGTTCAAAAGTCAATTGCAGAGCTGATGGCAGGGATTCATATTTACCACACTTTCAGTGGAAACATTTTCCTGAGTAATAACAACTGGGTTTGGTCTCTTTTTAAAACTAGCATTCCAGACCTAATCCCAGACTCACTGCAATACGCAGTCTTTGATTGTATGGGATTAGAAACTCACCTTGAATGTGTAAGCTAGTTCTGCAAACTGCAGAATTGTTATTGTCTGCTTTTTCCTTCTCTATGCATTTTCTTCTTAATGCTTCAAGACTTTTAAGTTTGTCCACCATATGATATAAAATGACATAGCTAATGATAGTGTTACCAAAAATATCATTTCCTTTTTAAAAAAGGATATTTTTATAGAATTAAGTGAACATCATTTTTGACTATGATGTTTTATTTGCAAAAATGTAAATGATCTTTTCACTAAACAGCAAACAAAATGATGTATCTCTGAAAAATATGATAATGCTTTTTTAAGGATGTGCAGATGGTGCAGTTAGAACATCTGCAGCAACAGAGGATCTGAGAACAGGAATTATTTGAGAGGATGAGTTACTACCTCAAATTTATTTTTTTGCTATTTTTTTTTGCAATGTTCTTTACTGAGAAGCATTCTCTACCCTGGAGTGCTCAATATTTGGCTTCTTTTCAGAGTTTCTACTATACTCAAGAGAAAATCTTAATCATAAAATCTATTAAACATTTTAATCAGTCCACAGTCCATTTTTCAACATGTCATCAGCTCAGGTTTTTTATTTGCATCAAACAATGTTTATTTACACAAACTGAAAGCACCTTCATAAACAAGACAGTCATGTAATGGAGGAGGGTTAGAGAAGGTCAGCAAGGATGGTTAGAGGTGTAGTAGAGTTTCAGGATGAAAAATGACTAAGTAATCTTGCACTTTTTAGTCCAGAAAGAAAATAAGCAGGGTCAAAAAGATGTTAGAGGTCTAAAAGACAGTCCCTTTCAGGAAGAGGATAGCATGGATTGACACAGCTCACTGCCTTTTCAAGAAGCAAGGTATGACAAATGAAGCTAGCAGGAAGCAGGTTCAAGCTGGACAAAAGACACGGTTTCATTGTGGATCTCCTTGCCCTGGGAAGTTTTATGTGACAGAAGCTTACACATGCACATTGAATAAAACCATGGAAAAGAAATCCATTCAGAATTGCTAACTTTTTAGAAATTGGATGTGGTTTAGAGAACCTGAAAATGCTGGGAAGCTGGAGGACTACACGTGGAAAACATCATACAGCCTTGTCTTGGTTTTGTACTCTTCCCTAAACATCTTTTTTTTGTCCATTGATTTGATTACAGAGGTAGATGAATCCTTGGTCTGACCCTATGGAGCTACTCTTCTATTCACATATTTTGGTCCCCTTGATGGCTGAAATGGTTATGTGTGTATGTGCAGGTAAAACTTTATTGAAACTTATGAGACAATTTTTAATGATCTTCTCTACCATCACACATCCTTCCATGTGTCAAGAAGAAACTGGATTATAGTGATTACATAGTAGGTGCTGTGCTTGAAGATTATCAAGGAAATAAGGAATACTTTACAAAAAATGGTTTCTGCTTAGACTATATGCCTAGTTTCATCTGGTCTAGATTAACATCTTCACAAAATTAAGACATAACATACAAATATATAATTTTCAACATCCTCACAAAAATCTGTCTTTGATTCTCTGGTTCAGAGGTGCTCAGACTATTAAACTACCTGGGGAATGATGCCCACCTTAAAATAGAAGCATTTTTACCCATTTTACCCATCCAGTAATCCAAAACAGTGAATGAACTGTAAAAACTACTTCTTAAAACCAGTATTTCAAACATATTTTAATTTTCTTTATATCATATTTCTATGTAATCCATTTTTTTTTTTTTTAATTCTGTTCATTATGAAAGTCCTGGAAGGACTTATGTACTTCATCCTCTGTGAGTGAGGGCTCTGCCATTTCTTGTATCTATGGCCCATGCAGATGGTGAGAACACTGTAGCTGCAGGTGAAGACTCCAATTCCTTGAAATGTCAGTGTGGACCCTGGGGGGGGGGGGGGAGGGGCTATTTATTCCACATTCCACAGTGATCTTTTGTTGGCCAGCTTCTTGTGTTGGTTGTCTTGCCCAGTTTTTGATTTCCAGACAGATTTTACAACAGCCCTGAAATGGAAAAAATAATTAAACGCAAACATACGTTTAAGCAGGTTTACATAAATTGCTCCAAATCATTCCCTTCCCATCCACAACAATCACTGTAACTGCTTTGTAAAGAACTTCTTTCCAATCTACAGAAGCTTGTTCCTTTTTTCTCTACTGGCAACACAAATATTAAACTACACAGAAATTTAAGTAGTTCACCCCAGGTCATGTTTTTCATCAGTAATACCATATTTTGATCAAAGGAAACATAAATCATGTTGTATGTTGTCCACCTGCCAGTGAAGAATCATAAAGATCATGACAAGGATCATACAAACAGTCAAAATGATTCCCATTACCAGGCAAAAGACCAGAATAGCATCTGTCATTGTTCTCCTTGATTGCCCTATTTCTATTCTCCTTGATTGTTTTGTTTGCATTTACAAATAAAAGAAATTCACCGTCATTATTATGTTCAGGTTTTCAAATGGACCAGACATTTAATCTGATGAAGAAGACTGAAAAAGAGCAGGTCTTAATTATTTACTATCTGACATCTTTCACAGCCTTCAGGCCTTTGCTGTGTCAGCAGAAGTTAGAATAGTAACATTTTATACCTTCTTTGCAAAGGCAGTTCTAACCAAGGAAGATGCAAAGAAATGGGGATCAGGGCATGTGAAGTGGGACACATCACTTAACAGCCATGAAACACAAAGAACTGCAATTCCTAAAGACAAGCTAAAAATTAAAGAGAGGGTAAAGTATCTATTTGACACCTGTTAAGAATGACTAATATAACAATATTTTTGCCTTAAGAAATGCTTTAATTTAAGATTTCAAGGCATGTCCATATAAGATATATGAATGATAAAGACAGAATAAATACCACAGGCTGTCTGCCACGCAAGGCAGGCTGACTTCTTTGTTCTGTGCCTGGTACCAGGTGCTCCATCACCCAGGGCTGAAGCACCAAGGTACCACCATGCTACAGAAGAATTCTAACAATGGTAATTGCTGCAATAATAATGATAATAATGAAGCCAAAAGAGAGTATGCTAACAAAAGACGGGATTCAAGGCCTTAAGTGCTGCTTTTCAGTTCCCTGACTCTATCTAGGTCTGCAAAGCAGACCTTTATTTAAAGGAAATAACCAGTGAGCATGGAAAGGCGTTGTTCTGCATGACCCAGAAATACATAGCGAGGAGCAGCTGCATGAAGCTGAGAACTGAAAAAAGTAGCAAGGATATCAAGAAAAAATGCATTTTCTAATGCTGCAGCCTGTTCACTCAAACTGAGGGCACTGCCATTACTTAGGCTGTTTCTCTAAGACCAGACGTACCAGTTTGGAGATGACTCTAACAAACAGCCCACAGAGTGGAAAGTGCTGAAGATGGTCAACCAACTTCCCCCACCTGTTTTTTGACACTGGATAAAGAAACACCTGGAAACCAAACCCAGTCACCTTGTCCTGAAATTTACTTGACCTTATTCATTCAGACACATTCAACCAAACCAATGAACTATCAAGTATCTTCCCAGATCACTCCAGCTTTGACAATTTTATACAAGCCAACCCTAATTTCTCTTTCATTTTCTCATACAGTTTCTAAAACTATAAGATGCTATCTTGTTACTGACTGGTATGCAAAATTCATGTTCACACTGGTAGGAATTCTGTGTAGCAGAACGACTGCAGGAAAACCATTTCTATTTCTATTTCATTTCTACTTCTATATAAGGTCCTGTGCCACTGTCATCACTGTAGTATCTAAGCAACTCTTCCATCGCATCATTTGAGTTTCGTTCTCCTGCATCACCAGATTTTCATTTTGATATTCTTAAACCACAGCTCATCTATAGGATTCTCCTGATCTTTCTGCAAGATACAGGATGGGTGAGAATGGTGAACTGGATGAGAATATCATACATAGTAAGTCTGAGTAGAGCTACCTGCTTTTAGGCTAATTCACTTCACTGACTGGACTGTCTTTTTAGACTTACATGCAGTGGTGGGGCATGGAGGTTAATGAAAATCATCTTTGATTTTGCAGTTTCATTAATATAATATATTTTCCCCTAGGCAAGATGTGAATTTAAAGCTTTAAGAATACCTCTGTTTACAAGCTGTAACAGGAGCCTGTTGAAGAGAAAAGCAAGTTTTATGTTAGCCACTGTTAATCTACTCAAGTTTTCTTCCTGGGAAAGAAAATCTTCCAATAGTCAAGAACCAGAACTGCCCAAGAGACACCCAATAATACAGAGGGGATGCCTTCCAAGTAAACACACATGTTTAAAATGCAAGTGGGAAGGAGACAGAAAAGTAGCTTCCCAATAAGAGGTTTACAATGAGCAAAGACTGATTCACATCAGGTACACTTTTAAGTCCCTGACTGCACTCCTAAAGTCCAGGCAACACTCCCAATTAGTGAGAATTTTGCCACAGTCAGAATATGTCTTAAAATCATCTTCAGCTTACAGTTAAGGTTATAAAGATGTATTTACACCAACTTTTTAAAAAATGTCCCCTTAGCTTAGTAAAAGTAGGAAGAACAATTCTTTTTTGAGCCATGCAAATGGCTCAATCACTTTCAATGTGAAGTCTACAGCCCACTGTGGGTCTGTGGACTACTTCACTATAAAGAATTATGAAGAAAATAATTGCTATGATATATATTCCACAATTACATTGTAAAAAAATTCCTACAGCTGTGTGCATCTCCACTGGAAATTTTCCAGGTTTCTATAAACAAAAAAAGAGATTGGTAACATACCTGATAGTTTCAAGCAGATTGTCTCCAACCCTACTAAAATCTTGGCATTCTCATTCTACCTGTTGATTATTTATATTCATCTTAACTAAAAAAGGAATGTACTTAAATGAAATGCAAGGGTGGGATACTGCACTTAGATTGTAGGCACTGTTGTATCTAAACTATGAATATTCATTTATTTGTGCAAGTCCAAACAAGGCAGGAAGGAAGAAAAAGAAGGAATGCTCAGATTTACTATTTAGCTTCCACAAGGACTTGCTGATTTGAGGCCAGCCTTGTGGCACAAACCCCAGAGTATGCTGGTAATGGCTCATGAAAACCTTTCCAATAGCTCAAATGGTACAAGCATCACACACTCCCTTCACCCCAGCCCCTATCTGCTATGCCAATGGAGGGACAACAGGCTGGATTAAAGGAAACAAAAGTGTCATCTGTATGGCCACTACCAGCTGCTAAGAAGCTTGACAGCTTTTTACTTTCTTTATGCCCTAAGAACAATAGGACCTTAGAAAGTTATTGCTTCCTTATTTGGGCTGAAAGAGATACATCACATTCCTCCCTCATGCCAAGCATCCGAGCAGGATGGCAGCACATACTCTGCTGTGGTGTGACCCAGCAACTATATTTGCATTGTATACCACAGTTTAACAAAGCTGCTTTGATTTCTATGCAGTGCGGTGCACCTCTGGGCTGTCCTCTGCCTTCATGGAACCCTCTCTTATTTAATTTGCTTAAATCCACATACATTCAGAAACGTCTGTTGCCACTGCTAGCATTTTCTTCCAGAAAATAACAGCCATACAAATATGGTCTCTGCATTCTCTTCAAGCATTTCTTCAATAAGAAACAGATTTGTGATAATGCAAATCATATACATCAAGAAAGTGGAGCACCTGCTTTTTCAGCACCATTTCTGTCCAAAGGAAACCCACTACTTCTGCCAGCAGCACTGTTCGTCTTCATCCTCCTCTTCCCCTGGGTTTTTCACTGAGCTGGAGTTCCTCCTAGACCATGATGTTGACTGTACAGCAGTGCTCTATCTACAAGCAGACGTTCAACCAATTGTTTATACAGTCCAGCAGCCAAGAGTAGTTCTTTCCACTAGTTTTCAGATCCAGAAAGTATGTATCAGTTTGACAGAGAGGAATGAGATTTTGCCTCTGTAGAGTTTGGTGGTTTGTTTTTTTTTTTTTTTAGCCCTTAATATAATGGTGATGCATAGCTTTTTTGTTTCCCTTCTAGATTATCTATAAGCCTTTTTTTATGTATTAAAAATTGGTGGGTATATACTAATAGGAGAGCAGGATTACATACACACAGAGGACACCCAGGCTGTTAATCTTGGGTACTGGGGTTCCCCATTTAATTTCTGTGAAAATGCAAGGACAACACGGTCATGCTGATTACATGTTTGTACAGTAGCTGGTTACAGAAATGTGACTCTCCTCTCTTGAGGGAGCTCTGGCACTGAAGTCATCAGCAGGAAATGAACTGAAGAGAGATGGGGGCTCAGATGGCCTCTGAGACACAGAAATGCTATTGCCTCCATCTTTTCCACTGAAGTGCCACTAGACACGCACCCCAACTTGCTCTCTCGCTCATGGGAGGTGTGGAGCTTGGAGAACAGCTGGGATCTCAGTAGGCTGACACCCTTCGTGTAGCATCCTAATGAGGATCATTCTCTGCTCTTGCATTCCTCCCTTGAAGAGTCCTCCCTCCTCACAGGATTATTATTAGTAAATATGAATAAATTGCCTTTCAGCTCCAAAGTCTTCACAAAACAGCAAACAACACAACAGGCGGGAGTGTGAAACAACACCCTCCAGTGTTTCAGGGTAGTGATTAAGTAAGAAGGACATATAGAAACGTCAGTTATTAAAAGGTGAGATTTTCCTTGCTGAGATCCCAATATTTCTTGATGAAGATAAAATACTTCTTTTTCCAATGTTATGTTTCTTTTGCTATAAAAGACAAAAAGAACTCATAGGTCTGAACAATTCTAACAACAAAAGGAAGAGACAAATTACTAAAGATCACTCGCTTATGCAAAAAGGTCATTACAACTGTTTATCAAAAGGTCACAAAGAAGTGGAGAAGCAGAATGATCACTGGTAAAGGACACACACAAGTTCTCCGTGGATAGATTTAAAATTAGCTCATATGAAATTTTGCCACTTGGCAAATACACACAAATTCCTGTGAGGTTTTACATGCCCCTTTGTAACATGTCTTCCCTTCCTCCCACCTCACACACTTCAAAATCTGAAGTGGAAAGTGTCACACAATGTATTCTCAAGTGGTGGCTTTGGGGCCAGGCTTGCAGACGGTGTTGCTGAACCTGGCCACTGTTGTTCGTGTGGGCAAAACATCAGAGAGATGGAAAGAGGAGGAAGGATGAGGTAAAAGCAAACACATTCACTCCTTATTGGCTGCACTGATAATTTTTAGCTCTGCTGATGACTTCAAGGGTTTCTCTCTATGAAAGTGTCAAGAAGAAAGGCCAGTCACAGAGCAAACACATTTCTACTTCCCCTGCCCCATCCTGGAGTGCTGGCATGAAGAAACGTATCTCTGTGGAATAGTGAAAGGAGTGAACTAGGTGATGAGAAAGACAAAATAAACAAACTTAAGCTTATTGACTTCAGTGAGACAGAGAGATGGTCAGAATCACCTAGGTTGGATTAAAAAAAAAAAAAAAAAAATTTAGGAGGTAATAGAGAGGACCCACTCTTTTCCGGATTAAAACTGATTTGTCGATTCAGCAGGTTCAGACAGTTCGGGTTGGTGTACTGGGCGGCGAGGGGCCGGAGGGTGGGCGCTGTGAGGGGGGGCCGGGGCTGCCCCGCGCCGGACACGGCTGGTCCCAGCCGGCTCCAAGGGGCCTGGCGGGGCAGAGGGGGCAGGCAGCATCAGGCATCTTGATTGACAAGGGTGATAAATTTGTCTCAAATTTCCCAACCCTCATTTCAAAAAGTCTTTTAATGAGGAACTGGGGAAGACAGCATTGTACCACGGGCAGGAATGTCACCCCTTTCCAGAGTCTGAACAACACTGCAGGCCATGCTCCCAGAGAACAGAGCAGTTCTGCAAAACAGAAGGCAGCAGCTAAGAAAATCTACATCCAAACACCAGGAGTCTTGCTGCATCCACTGGTGCTGTCAGAAGGATCTTTCTCATTTCCTCCTGATCCTGCTGGAAAAGTAAATGCAGTCTTCTGATCTTGCTAGAATTCTGACCACCCACAGAGAGCAAAACTAGATCTGTATGATGAAAGTCCTGGTACATTCTCGACCAAAACTTCAGCTGATAACTTCTCCTATGTACCTGATTAAGAGTTAATAATTTCTAAAGTCCAAAAAATGTCACTTCTGGGGAAGGAAAGCCCAGAAACTACTTTGGACACCTACACACCCCTGCACAAAGCCAAAGGTCACTGATCTGGCACTAAGCAGAACAACCTATTTCTTTTAAGCTACTTAATAAACTTCAGAGCTTGTCTTCCTCAGATTTCTGTATAGTTGTAAATACTTTCTGAAGCAGTAAACCTCAATTCTTGTAAGAAGTTCTCAGTGGGTATGTCTGTTGGGCGGGTTTCATCTGACCGCTTTTCACCAAGACTACTCAGTCAGAACTTAAACACAAGTGTGCGAGTTGTCCTATCGATGACTCACTGAGTGAAGTCAATGGGACCATTTGCATGCTTAAACCTAAAACAGATTATGTGCTCCGCTAATTCAGGTCTCAAAAAGGAAGCTTCCTCTGTACAAAAAGGAATGTAGAGACTGAATAGTGGGAGAAGGAAAAAAAAATAGAAAAAGCTTTGGGTGTTTTGTGACTGCCAGATGGATTTAGAAAATGAATAAACAAATTCCATGTTACTGTACAATGGCAGAAAGGAGCTCTCAATAGAGATACAGGAAATAGCCTTTCTTACTGAACAGAGAGGAAAAAAAGTAGAATTCCCAGACCAGACAGTTTTACCTGGGTAAACAACATGGAGGGGAGAAAAAGGGGGAAGAGACATCTCCCATCTCCAATAATTTCTTTCTTTCTAGTCTTTCATGATTTTGTATAAGACCTATATCTACATTATTTCAGGAAAAAACTTTAAACTTTTATGAACAAGGTACTTTCACCCTTTCTCTGATTAGGAAAGATAAGTTTCTGTGCGGCTGTTCTCATGGTTTAAGGAAATCATCAGACTGCTACCCTTCCTGATGAAGTCAGCAAAAATCCCATTAGCAGAGGAGTTGAGAAAGATAGTACTGAGCAACTGTTTTATGATGTATTTAGCTTTGCTAAATCCACTGTGTATAAGTAAATTTCAGATGGCCACTAAAAGAAAAACCCCAAAGTTGTCTCCCTGCTTCCATATTGAAGTGGAAAGGTGACTTAACTGCAGAATCTGTGCTGCTGGTGCTATGTCGCTTAGTGAGGCAAAGAGAAGTCTATGTTAACCAACCTGGGTGCAGTAAAAAATAAGCAGGTAAGAAGGAAACCTCCTTATTTTAGCTTGAATTTTTACAAATGTTGAAGAAAATGCCCATTCCTATCACAAGGAACTTCTTCATTCCCGTTCTGTCATTTCCTTTTATAAGTCTCTCTTATTAGTCTGCATTTCATGACAGTCATTACCACAGCACACAAACCTATATACCACTGGTGACATGCAATCTTACGAAGATTGAGTACTACATAAAAAACACAAGGCCATATCACTAGAAGACGGTAAGCATCTCTGTGAGCTTACCAGTTGTTGCGTAAACTGTGTATTTTACAGAGGCAATTATATTTCCATTTTCTTGAGTTTCACACTGGAAAGTAACTGAATAGGTATCTCTGAAAACTTTCATAACAGCTGAATCATTGGGAAGAACATGTGTGGTCTAACCATATATAAAAGAAAAGAAAAAAAAAAAAAAGAAAAGAAAAAGAGGGTTGTATTTTTTATAATAGATCTGCAAAGACGAGTTGCATTGTGTCAGGTGCACAGGAAAATGCTTATTCTACTCCAACAGCTTTCAACTTACCAAGACCTCTTGTCCCATGGAAAAATTTCTCCCATCTCTTCAGCACCTCCTACTTGAACAACTGGGAAGGGCAACATAGTTGTGACTTGCTGACATGTATGCACTCACCAGCCACCATGCCCCATTGTCCTGAAGTAGCAGTAAACATTACTCTCTAAAACTATTGTTTCCCTCACACAGACAGGAAATTGAAGCTGCACAAGGAGGCCAAGCCATGCTAATCCTCATGTTACCAACTTGCCAGTGAGAAATCAGGGCTTATTTGCTTTGTGACAACAAAGGAAATAATCTACCCAGAAGTCTCTATAATTCAGATGGAACACTTGGTAAATACATGCGGTATGCAATTTTTCTGCACAAAATGGAGTTTAATTACTCACTTTGTTTGGAATTAACATCTTCTAAACATATTTAAATCGATTTTCAGGAGGTATATAAATACACGGCATTTTCACGCGGGCAAGGCCCTCAGAAATTGCTATTCCCCCTATAAGAGGAATTTTTAGTAGGTACATCATCAACTATATGAAAATCTCTGTATAGGTCATAAAGTTCATAATTCTTCAAACCACAGCATGTTACGTGGAGATTATCCTTTCCCTTAAAATTACTTAAAATACCTTCTGCTTGGACTAATGTCTGGAAGGAAGCACATATCAGAAAAATGGTATTTTACAGGGACTTGAAATCAAGGGCACATCAGTACAGAAATGAGATCTGAAACATTACTGGATTTCTTAACAGGGTAGTTAGAAGGTGGAATGCAATCACTTCATTTTGCTTCCACCACACTAACAGAGAATAAGGATGCTTCCTTTGAATCAACTTATTTGCTCTAAATTACCGTATCACAGTATTCCACTTATATCCACAGTCTACTGGCCCCCAGTCCACACAGACAATACATTTTGCTTCAGTCTCAGGGCATCCACTGGTTAACAGAACTCAAATGTCTATCCCTTTGGGGGGAAAAAAAAATCTTTCACTCTGCATTTCTTCATTTCCTTCATACTCTGTTTTTGCTTTCTCCTTCTTTATCCTGGATGTTAATATGATGTATTTACCAATTACCAGGCAAACAGATCTTCTCAGAGAGCCTGCTAAGGCTATCCCATGTTGGTATCTAAGATTACAAGGCAACATCTTCTTCTCTCAGACTCTGCACCCTAGGGAGTCAGATTCTTAGAATCATGTGTCAGAAAAAGAATTGAAAATTAATTTAAAACTTTTCTTACATATAAAGAATTTGAAAATAAACAAATATATGTTCTTCAAAACAGTTTATTCACTTTAAATTTCAAAGCATTCAGACTCCTGGCCTTTAGATACTCAAATCAGATGGCACAGAGAATACTGTACAGACTGCCAACTCGATCTGCCTCCAGTCTTGTGACTGTCTGAGTGTCTTCAACTCCCACCAAGGTCAACAGAAACCGGAGGCACTGAAAACCTCCTGGCACTGGGACTGGGGAGTCTGAAGTTACCTAGCAGTGACTGACAGCAAGTGACACAGGTATACCACCAACAACCTCCAAAATGAAGCTTCTCAAAGAAAAGAGGGTGGTGGTCAGTAACACAGGACTTCTCATGACAAACAGGTGAAATCCAGTTTTGACCACCAGGACTTCACCTGCAACATGGAAGGTCCTGTTGAAGCAAAGAACAAGAGGTAAACTATCACAAAGGTGCAAAGTTAAGGAAAATTCCTACACAAAATTGAAGGAAGCTAAAAAGTGTTCACTCTTAATGTCAGGATTTCAATGGGAACATCTTAATTTTAACAATTACGAACAAATTCAAAACAAGTGCTATAATTGTTTTTGCCAAATAGTGTGTACACAGTTCATTGGAATGACATAGCTTGTGGGGGAGGCAGCAATAATACATTTAAGCCCAGTAAACACTGAAGGTTTTGCCATTTTTCCAGAAGCATTTTGTTTACTAATAGGCATGTAAAGAAGAGAGTTAACCCTCCCTTGCAGTGGAATAATAAATAGGAAATTGGTTTGAATATTACATTTACGATGCATCTGCCTTTATTAAATGTGTATTATATAAACCAATGGATTTCAGAATATTTCAGAGATGTCATGTAACTCATGAAACAGAACTTCAAGTGACAGAGGGAGACAACACCAATTGCTGAAAATGAAACAAAATAAGGATTGTTCTCCGCTCCAGAGAATGTCTCATCTCATGGATGCAGAAACAGAGGTGTAAAGGGCAGCGAACTGACACTTTTATTAAAGGCATTCCTCTTTCTTCAATGCCATGTATTTTTTTTTGCTAACAAAAGAGGCAGTAAACCTATGAAAAGCCAAAAGGCTGGCTTGATGAAATCTGGGTGCTGGGCTAACTGTGGTCACATTCATCAGGAAAAAATCTCACTGTCTTACCTATGGGAATATTAAAATTTGGGAAGTATATCATAATCAAAGGGTTGATGAAAAAAGCTCTTTTAGATCTGCAAGTTCTTTTGGTACTCCTCTGCCTCTTACTTTTGGACAGCTTTTTCTTTAGTTCCCATGTTTTCTTTTCTCACTTCTTAGCAGCTGCCAATGCTGACGAAATTAATCTACTGAGATGCTCTAACAAATGAAATCTTAACTTCAACAAGTCATAGAAGCTAAGCTAACAGAAAACTAGCCACGATGCAGTAAAGTAAATTACCTAAATGAAATTCACCCCAGAGAAATGTAAATTAATAGACTGGGGGAGGGATGGTGAAGAGGGATGACCCACAAAGAGCTGAACACTTAGCCATACAAAAACAGCAGTTATAAGAGTGGCCAAAACAATCAGAACACAAAGAGACTAAGGCAAACTTGAGGCAGGTATGACAAGACACCATTAACATATGCTTTAATATGCTTTAATGCCTCTGTAAACCTGGACTATGACTAGACAAGCAATGGATCTGAGCCACAGCATTTCTGGGAAAAAGTTAGGAAAACTGAGTCAGTTCAGAAAACAAGAAATATAAAGGGTTAGACAGATGAATCTAGGGAATAAGAAGGACTATGAGGGAGACAAAGAACTTACAGCTTTACTAGAAAAACCAAGAAGCTACCTTTCAGCCTTTCAACAGACAAACATGCCATGCATTGAACAGCCCAGACTAGAATGAAGGCTACAAGCATGATCTGAACTCCAGATATGAGATTATGAAGATATGAGATGATCTCTTTTTTCTTTTTTTTAGAGCTTCCCCTTCCTGATTCTTCAGTAAATTATATCATTTTCAGAATTAAAGGCATTAAATATTTCATATTGGGTCTAGCTGGGTTGGAATCAACTTTTCCCACAGCAGCCCTCATAGTACTGTGCATTGTATTTGTAGCTGGAACGGTGTTGATAATACAAGAATGTTTTGGCTACTTCTGAGCAGTGCTCCCACAGCATCAAGGCTGTCTCTTCACAGCCCTCTCAAAGACACAGGCTGGGGGTGGGCAAGAGGCTGGAAGGTGACACAACTGGGACAGCTGATCCAAACTTGCCAATGGGATATTCCATACCATATGATGACTTACTCAGCAATAGAAGCTAAGAAAAGGGGTGAGGGATGGGGGTGGAGGGGTGGGGTTGCGTGCATTTTTATTAAGGTGTTTTTCTTCTGAAGAAACCGCTATGCATACTGAGGTCCTATTTCCCAGAAAGTGTCTGGACATCACCAGCGGATGGGAAGTAGAGAATAATTTTGTTTGTTCTTTTGCTTCTGTTCACAGCTTTTGCTTTTCTTTGCTAAACTGCCTTTATCTCCACCCATAACTTTTTCATCTTATTTTCTCCCCTGTCCCACTGAGGAGGTGAGTGATAGAGCAGCTTGGTGGGCATCTGGCATCCAGCCAAGGTTAATTCACCACCATGTCAATTCTGAGGGATCGAAAATAAAAGTGAGACAAAATTTAGTGAAAAGCCCTGGAAATATGGAACATTTTAGACATCTGCTAGAGGGATGGGACATAAGGAGCAGTTTCTTAGTATACAAAAGATGTGTGCATCAGACCAAGTGAAGTTATTAAGAGTACGGGGATACATATATGGCATTGGTATATGGAACATATAAGAAGATTTGACATTACAAAGTGAAGGAAAAGAAATATTAAAGTATGTAGAAGCAAAAAAAGGATCTCCTAAACCCATTAATGTCCTAAGGTGTGAAAAAGGAGGGAATCAAGGAAGTTCTATCACTGGAAATATGAAAAGCTGACTGGAAAAAATAAAAAGGCATTCTCCAGAAAACATAAGATTGATGGGGGGAAAACCTCACCTTTCTTTTTTCTGTGATCTTATGAGAAGCTGAATTTGTTCAGAAAAAAAAAATAATAGCATTTCTGATTCAAGACTGCTTCCTAAGCAATACAATTACCACCTCATAGCAGCTTCTATCATCACACCAAATGCAGAGATGTCTTCTTAAGGCTCATCTCATTTTTCCCCTCTCCTTGCCTACTCCAGAATGATACCTCTCCTCTTCACTGCACAATTTATAAATTGTATAAATGTGGAATACAGAACAGGCTACTGCAGGCAAGCAATTTTTTGGCAATATTGTATGTGGGAAGACATCTGTGAGAAGCATCAGAAGATCTTTCATCTTCTGAAGATCTCACAGATGTTCACAAATAGCGAAAATTGTTACTTTGGGGAAGGCAGCTCATGTGCCAATAAACGTAGGGAACTGGTTTAAAATAGGAGCTTGCAGGCTGTGAAATTAATAAAACAACAGATCTGACCTAAACTCCTAATGACAATCAGCTTGATTGTTTTTGTTAATTATAGTTATTGGCAATTGAAATCAATGAGGTGAATGAGGGCAAGCAAATTACAACTGCTAAATTGCTACAGTTAGCACTTTTTTTTTTTCCCCCAAACAAATGACAATATGTTTTATTCATCTGCTTTGCTACTTACCACATGTGACAGTGCATACTCCGAATTCTACTTCCATGGACACAGTGGCATTCAGACCTGAACACAAAGTCTAAAGTTACATCTCAAATACAATGACAGGGGTGGAAATGCCCAAATAACAGGAAACTCACTCCTTGAAATCTTTACTACTTTTTAGTTGAAATGTGAGATTTGCCAATATTTCTGCTTTCACTAACTAGACCAGAAAACCAAGATATTTATGAAAAAAATATAAAATCCAGTGTGAATAATGTTCATATTTAAACCTTAAGATGATTCTTTAAAAAGGAAAAATGTATTTTTCTTATAAACCAGCCTATGATGTTAAATTAGGCTACTGAATGCTCTGGGAAGTGCAGTGTCTAGGTTCTATGTAATTTATAGGTCTTCCCTGAAAAGAGTTAAGAAAATTTTTCATTAAACAATATTCAGTTAACTAAATTCCTTGTTCTTTCTGGCTAACATATGCCTTTCCACATGATTTGTTTCCCCATCACACTTCAAGGTCAGGTTTAGACAGTCAGCACAAAGATGAGTCAACCAGGTACAGTATTTTAATTAGGTACTGGGGTTTTAATCACTGTGATTGCATTCCTGCCATTTTTTTTAATAGTACTTTGAGGTTACAGAATGGGTTTCACAGAGTGTACAAAAGCAAAAGGTTCTCATCTCCATCTGGGATTCAAATCTGGATTATATCTTTTATTCCTAATAGCATGCGATTTGAATGTTTGTTTATAAGAATACTGAGATACAGTAACTGTTCCACAGAGAAACTAACTTAGTGAAGCTCCTTTGGAAATTATTAACTAAATAAGCAATAGGTCTTTTCAATTCTTCCAAATGCAAAGAGAAAATTACTATGGCTGTTTTTACAAGTCTACACTGCCAGTCCCGCCTATGCAGATTATTTTTTTTCTGATAACAAATACTTACCAATGTAAAGTTTGCTTTCACTGTCTCTCAGTTTTTTATATTCAAGATATATGTTTACAAAATGTTATTTCTGTGCAGCAATGCAAGTTTATATATCACTTCTTGCTACTAAATCTCTGAGTAACATTTACATTTTTCACACACTAGCCAAAACTTTAAATTTCTCAGGTTGAAAGGAACAGATCCATTTCTCTTGCAGTCAGTGATATATAAATATAAAACCTTTATTCCTCCATTGTAAAGGATTTACACTACAGCAGCACGGCGCATTCTCCACAATGATACACTGATACTGAACTTTTCTTTGCAGCATTATAAATGAGCCATCAAAATCTTACTCTTCTGTTATCTCTAACTGTCTCTGTGGTTTTGACATTTACTTCAGCATATAAACTGTGCTCGTCAGAACAGTCTTCTAGCGTGTGTACCGCAATACTTAAACAATAATTTAACTATCCAGTTGAACGATAAAAAGATCCAACTTTAGCCAAAACATAAGGAAAAAAATGGTAAGATTAAAATCCTATGAAAACAGATACAACCTTTAAAAGAGCTAGTGTATCCTCAAACTCTATCTCTAATGAGCGTTAAAAAATAACAACTTCTTTAGAAGATGGTCCCCACCGCAGACAACCTATCATGTTTCCCTTAGCTTCTTTTAAGTTAATGGGGCAGTCATTCAATGCTCTTGTCTAATGACAACTATCACAGCACAAGAGAGCAAGAGGAGATAAGGATCCTGTCTACAGTCTAAATACAGTCCTGTTTAAAAAGATGTGTTTTCAGCTTGGTACAACATGAGTTGCGCTTGTTCACTTAAGCAGAATAAATGAAAACATGCAGAAATGAATGGGAGGAAGGGCTAGGACAGCTTTAGATGATGTAACTCCTCAATTCAATAGATTTCTGGCAATTCATATCAGCTTACAGTAAGCCCCAAACCTCTGCCCTGAAAGTAGGCATTACTGTAATTCAATTTTGAGGTGACAAACTGAGTGTAGCCACAGCAGGGTGTTGTTACATCTGAAAGGAGAAGCTGCCATTTTCCATCCAGACACAAATTTAAAAAAAAAAAAAAAAAAAAAAAAAAAAAGCTTTACAAAGAAGGAACAAGAGAGACACAAAACTCCAGATATTACTAATAGAAGGTTGAGGATCTTTTCTAACCAGTGAAAACAAACTTCTAATCATAGGTGAAGGTATCAACCATGTTACCCTTTCAGGATGATCCTGGCTGCAAGAGCATCACAACATGCAACATCTCTCTTTTGTCAGAGATTTATAATGATGAACTGAATATAGCCCTAAATAAAAAAGATACTGTATTTTCTAAGTAGTAATACTCTAAATAAAACCCTAAAAACATATAAACATTAAAATCTGGTTGGTTCTAAATTAATGAGGAAGCACCAATCCTGATTTCTGATTTAATGAAGTTTAAAAAAAAAAAAGGCAACAGAAAGAAACTTTAAGGGAAACAGGGTCAGATTCATTCATAATCATCCAAATAATGTAACACTTTTTATGTGAATGTTATGAACCTTCCATACCGGTATCGCAATACAAAGTTTTGTACTGTTTCCTTTACTTGCATTTCCTCCATACATTTTAAATGAACCAAAATGTTAAGAAAGCTTCTGGTAAGAAACTACAGATCTTTCTACTTATATAAGATGGCTGTTTCCAGTTGCATCAGGTTCAGATAAAAATATATTGTCGGTCCTATGCAAAAAGAATTATGTATATAGCTCCCATTAGCATTAATAGGAGTTATATATGTAAATCCCACACATGCTGAGATAAGAATGTGCTAAGGAACTGCATTTACATTCCTGTCAGGGGGCTGCAATTAGTACCAGCACAGCAAAAGCAGCCTGTATTCCTCTCTACATTTGGAAGCCTTGTAAAACCTATGTAGAACAGAATTATTTGCCATTATACACCATTTTAATTACAAGCCACATTACAGCACACACACAGAATATTCTGATAAACACTTTAAAAACCCACAGAAGTCATACTAAGGATGTCAACAGAGTGCACCCAAAGCCATGGTTGTGAGCTCTAGGGGAACTAGCTCACTCCTGAGTCGGGCATCTCATTCTTGCCAAATATCATGGCTTTAGTACTTATGGGGTCCTGAAGGTCAAAGTGTGGGGGGGACAGCACCACTCTGTTCCCAAAGTGAGAGCGCACGGGGTAGCTAAGGGGACGCAGGTTTCCTGGGATGGAAACATTTCCAAGGGCAATTGGCTTTGCACTTGACAACACATCATCTGCCAACCTGTGCAGTTCGTCTCTTGACGACAGACGGAGGGGGTTTGCACGTATCCGGCTCTCGGGAGCCCACACTTTTGGCTACCAGAGTGACGAGCAGATCTGGAGCTTTGCCCGTCTCCCCGGCCTCCCCCTCCGGGAGGGCCCCTGTGATGCCGCACAGCTTAATAAAGTACCAAATACGCTCCGACACCCTCCCACTGCCTGCATATGACATTGAGGAGAGATCGTTCCATCCTGGCGGTGATTAAGCCTTGCTCAGAAAGCGCGACCCCAGCCAGCCCGGCACATAGCTGCTCTTCCACACGAAAAACTGGTCTCCCGGCACCGTGGCCACGCTGCCCCTTGCCTCCAGAGAGGGAAGCTGGAGGGGCTCCCTGCCCAGCCCCGGGGGAGCTCCCACCTCCGGGCAGCCGTGCCCACAGGCCCGGGGGCCCCGAGGTCGTAGGTTGAAGCCGGCAACCGGAGGGAGAGCAGTTTGCGGCCGCTTCGTTTGCTGGAGCGCCAGCCTGACTTCCTCATAAAACGGGGGGCAACCTCTGTGGCACCCAAAGGGTCTGACTGCCTGTTAAAGACGGTCCTGAACAGTAACAGTAACAACTGAAGCATCTAGTTCTTCTCCAAACTCCACAAAAGGCTGATTTAGATGTTTAGATTCAAGTCTTTGTAGCTGACTCCACTTTCTTCAAATACTAGCCTAGGTTTTCCGCAGAACCTTTCAACCCCCAAAATGCCAGAGCCCTGCGCGAAGGGGGTCTGCAAACTGAGGAAACACACACGCGTTCAGGAGACCGGCAATCATGTGCATGATGGGCACATAAGACAGCAGTGCTGATGGCGAGCGGGACGCTAGGCCAGCAGGTAGAGAATGTAAGATCCTGCTGTCAATAAGCATCCGCACTACCCAAAACCAGTGTTTGGAAGAGATGCTCCCACATTTTATACAGAATCCGTGTTGTAGTCTCTGCTTTCATGTTCAGAAAGCCTCTGCAGATGTCCCAAGCTACCTCGGTGAGAACTTCCTCCTCAGTGAGCATGACTTCCATCAGCAATTGTATTTCCACAGGATAAAGAAGCACAGCCAACAGAGGTTGCTTGTGAGTGCAGGGCTGGACCTGGGCTGTGTGAAATTTGCTTTCATGGGAGTTGAAAATGAACAGAGCTTTCCCTGCATTTGAGACTATCCGTGTATGTTATCTGTTTGACTTGGCCTTTCCTTAATAATTTCTTCCCAAGACACCTGCTCTCACATGTGCAACAGCAAACATGGAAGAAAATTCTTGGAACTGATCAGGCTACTTCCCTAAAGGCTATAAGAGAGATTATTACTCCTATAAAATACTTGGGAGGCTCTCAGATGTTGAAGCCAGAAAAAGCTGGAGATGTGTGAAAATACTATTTGATGGGTAATGAACCATCATTAGTTCATAAAGTTCACAAAGCTGTCAGAGTTGATGTTGCCAAAATAATAATTATATCCTTAATAATGGCTTCTATTTCTATATCTTCAGGACCCAGAGTTATCTGGAACTAGAAAAAAAGTCAGTATTGAGTAAAACCAGCTATCTCTAAGGAAGGGAAAAAGATTGACCAAGTAGGTTAAATCCAAGTGTGTATTCTAGTTTTTCTTTAATTGAGACATTTTCAACACACTTTCCTATCTGTGTATGCACATGTAAAATACACCTATATATGCACACAGATGCACATATATTCTATGCCACTGTGGCTGCTTGTGATGGGATGCAGGAGACCGTTACCACGAAGGAAAGATTAATAATTTCCAGGAACAGCAGGGCTACAGACTTCTCTAGAGGAGAAGTTCCCCTTTTTAGGCTGGGACCTAGTAAATGGGTGGATGGCATTTTGTATATTTTCTCAAAATTATGTTAGTAGCAATGTCTTTTCCATTCCTTCCTTGTACTTCACATCCTTGGTGTTAGTCTTGATCTCTTTCTACAGTTTATCTTCTGCCTAGGTGCGCTCTCATTTTTTCCGGCCCTTCTTATTTTTCTGTTTTTATAGGAAAAGGTCATAACAATACTAATGGAAATGGGCAATATCCACTTGTCTCATGCTGTTAAGTGGCTCTGTGAAGCAGTAGTGAGCTCCCAAGTGGGCAGAGCTGTTCCACCTACTTGCGTTGCTCTCGCAGCTGGCTGTACCGCAGGCTGCCCAGAGAGAAGGCTGGCAAACAAACAGCTTGGAAAGAGCTTGCAGCTGCTTGTTCTTCTCCCCAGCCTCAGGACAGCCATAAAGTGTTTCTGCAGTGGGAGTGTGTATTTGGAAGCTTTCTTCCAGGCTGCTCCTTTTCTCTCCTCGCTTGGCACCATCTCCCACACAATCATTTTCCTCAGCCATTTACAGGAAGAGCAGTCTGCCTGGACTTGTAGCCAGTATCACTCCCCTCCCCAGGGTTAGGAGCAGTGGGCAGAGTCACAGTACTCCTTAAAATTGGCCATATGTGAAGCTAGGGATGAGAGATGCAGCTAGGAGCAGCAGGCAGAGCTTCAGTGTTACAAACACCTGGAATATGATTAGCTCTCTATTCTGCCTTCAGGCTGTATCGGATGTGGACTTTCAATTTAGCCATATAATGCAAAATGGTTTATTGCTGACTTTATTAGCCTAGTTGCTAATTAATAGACCAAATAACACCATTACCACAATGCCAACAGATTTATACTTCAGCCTGAACTTGTTCTCAATAAGAACACGGCCAGATTAGATGCTCAGTAGTTTTCTGAGTTAATAACTGTACTTGCAAAAGGTTCAAGTGGTGTGCAGCCAAATGACATAGACAACATTTAGAGTGAAACAGAGCAGCTTCATCTCCTTTATTCACACCAATAACCCAGGCTGTTAACAAGGTAAGGAAGATGTTTGATACTCATAGAAAACAGGAGTTCCATGCAGTGTTGTTTTCTGTGACAGGACTCTGTTGGTCAGTAGCATTTCTTTATTCTCTGTTCATGGGCCAATAAATAATTCTGTAAGTCATATCTCACTGAAAGCTGCTGCAGCAGGAGCTCATGCCAGAAGGTCAGCACATCTGTAGTGGTCAAGGGGAGGTGGTCAACAGTTCTGAAAAATGCCTCCTCTTGTTTTGTTCCTATGCACAGATAATGGCATGCTTCTTCCACTGGGTAAGAATTGTTGCCATAGTAATGTTTCCAGCACTCCTTTGGATCAATAGCAGAACAGAGAGTTTTCAGGTATTTCTGTTGTTTGCAAGCCTGCAGTCATACCCCATATATATTTCTATTCCCTTCTATAAAATAAGGTTGTTCAAAGATCTTTCAGCACTGTACAATTATTCAAAGAAAGCAACAAAATATGGTGTACAAAGATCTTGGGTCAGAATCAGACCTCTGATGGGCAAGTGCACTTCTGTCAAGAGAGTAAAGTTGTATTTGCTTAATCAAAGTCCTGAAATTGTCCCTAGTAATAATGCTATCAACACCTCGCCAAATGCAGGAAGGAACTGAAGCTGCAGAACTAGTTGCATTTTTTGCTGAGGGTCCAGATGTAGTTCCATGCATAAATCAGTGGTATTTTTCAGTTGATTTAAAGTACATTCCCTGGTTCATGGATACTCTGTAGGTACTTGACTTACTACCACAGCATAGGTTCAAGCTGATTAGATGGTACTAATTCTAAGATGGGAGTGAAATGGGAGCTTTCAATAAATTGTTAAGGGCTGAATCTACAGAAGTGTGGACTTAGTCACTGTACCACGGCTTTCAGCAACCAACTTCAACATACAAATCATCAGAGTCTGCCCATCTGCACTACACATGTCAAAAGACTGTGTATGTGTTGAATAGAGGCCCCTATATTTCCCCTACATAACCTAGAAGTTAGGGCACACCTCAGCATTTACAATGAGATAATTTAGATGTTTACTTGGAACAGTCCCATTCCCAGTAAACAATTTACAACAATCATGCTGTGTAAGAGTTTTAAGAGTCAATATGAGCTGTCCATGCTACTTGACCTCAATGTTGGAGAGTGGCTGCAAGCACAGTTAATGTATGAAGACAGGCTTTGGTTGAAGATGAAGCATTGCCATGTCTAAATGTTTTTGTGAATTTAACACGAAGAGCTGAGGACAAAATTTTCCGGGGTAGAAAGTGTTCTGCTTGCCATATTGATATACAGGCAATAAAGGGGAGGGCGATTTGATAGCAATGTATTTTGCATCTTTTTAGGAAAAAACTTATCAAACTCTACTTCAATTTCTCCATGGGATAGTGATTCTTTCACTTCAGTAGTTTACACCTAAACTTTACCATTCACAATCTTATTATGCATTTTTCTATTAATAGATTCCTTTACAAAGAGTGGTATTTACCTGCAGATGCTGCACAAGGCTCCTTCAGGTATTACAGTTACTCGCTTCTAATTGGAATAGGAACATGCTATCTTCTGTAATTATGTAGTACATTTTTTAAATAGCAACCAATATTTCATTGCCTGTGGAAAACATCTCCAAATCACAAATACAAGTGGCTTCTGTGGGAACACCTGTAATCAGCACCATAGACACAACTTGGAGAGATTCATTAGAGTTCCCCCACAATTCCTAGACTCCTGTCTGCATGCATATATCACTGCTGAGCAGAAAAAAAATAGGCACTACTTCTTTTCCTCTTATCTGATATTTCTCAGGAGATCTGGTATTTCATATCTACTTATTCTCCCTCTTCCTTGCTTCCACCAAAATTGGAGGAGCTTTCCTTTATCTTCTACAATTTCCTTCTGTCTGGCATCAAGGCCCTCTTGCCTACATCTACACATCTGGCCTTCCAGAAAGGAAGACGAGAAAGGAGTAGGGAAGGAGAAGAAGACACATGCCTGGGTTTTGTGATGAGGAATCAAACTGCATCTAGGCTGCTGGACACTGGAGAACATTCCTGAGTCCTGTGGCTTGTATGTAATTCTTTGTCTTCATGGCCTTGTGAAGAGAAAGATGAGGGAATTCAACTGAGATTTCTGTTCATGGACAACAATGTGCTCTGATGATATGATTTTGACCATGTTATTTAGGAGATACAGATGTCTTGCTGACAGCCAGCTTTTTCAACAACAGTACTTATGAAATACTTTATGCCAGAAATTTCATAGAATTCACATATATTCTTGGACTTTCTGATATAGTCCCATCCATTTTCCTGTTACTCTGAACAGACTTTAATGAGAAAGGTTAGAGGTACAGTAAATCTGTGTGAGAGAGATTGAGAACTGGGAGAATCACTGCTGAAACAGTACAAACCAGAGGTCACATTTTGCTCCCACTGTTACAACCCTTTTTGGTCAGAGTGGTTGTTTAGATGTAAATAGGGACTGAATACCAATCAAATTAGTTAAAAGCCTGCTCACATGAAGGACAATAGAAGTTTTCTTAATAACATCACGAGGATCAAGACCTGAGCCCTGAACATCAACAGTCGTGAGAAGGTACAGTTTTATCTGTTTCTGGCTTGCACTCAGCACCAGCAAAAATAAAGTCTGTACCATAAAAGAGATTCCAAGTTTTGCAAGTCAATGGGTAAATTCGTGGGCTGGCATTTCAGGACCAAAAATGTAGCCCTAAAATACAGCAACTGCAGGCATGCACATCACCTGGTCAACCAGGTCTTTCTGTTAAAAGTCCAGCTGATACCTTAGATCAACTCAAGAAGCTAATTGCTGTAGTGAGGCCTTACTTTCTAGCTCAGTTGCTGTTTGTTCCCTAAGGGAATGCCCCTGAGGCTACCCCTGGCACTTCAGCCTTTCTGTTTACCCACTCTCTCATCCAGAATTCACCCGCCTCCACATGGTGTTCCTTGGCATCCTTGCTAGCACAGAGCTTGCAGTAACTCTAGCTTTGCTCTTCTCTGCACACAAGCGAGAAAAACGCCTGCGTATAAGCCAACACACGAATGCCCTGCCACCTGGCCAGAGGCAGACTGCAAGGCACTGCTAAATAGATGCCAGAGCTTCCACGCTGTCCTACTAGCTTTCCCCATCAGGCAGCTCATCGCATTCAGGAATCATGCTGTTTTCGTCTGCTGTCCCCTGCAGTTTGGCAGAAGCATCCTCTGAAGAGACCCAGCAAGAGATAATGCTTATTAACTCCCCCTCAAATATCCATGGGTCTGGATGCACTGAGATACCATGGTAATGAAAGCAGTAAGAGCGTCTAGACAGACAGACAGACAGTAGTCCCACAGTTAGTGGAGAAATTTTGCCAGCAGATATTTAATCGAATTAATTGTTATGTATTCTGAACAGAAGATCATGTGAATGTGCAACCCATGTGTACGGTGAACCTAGTGATTGCCTGCTCTGAAAGTTTTTATAAGATATCACAGAGCCTCCGGCAAATACGCAATTAACAAAATACTTTAAAAATTAAAATGACATCTAAGATTTGACAAGCTGTGTAATTAAAAGGGCTTCTTCAATAGTATAGGGTTTTCCTGGTTGTGATGGGGAGCCAAACCAATCTTCCAGATTACAGTTCTTAAAAGGAAGGAATTGAATCACTTTTAAAGACTGTCTCTTACATAGCCTACACTTAAAAGTCACCACAACCATTTCTGATAAGGATTTCAAAGTGCAAGATCCATTTCTGTCTTAGATGTTGATCAGCTGTGCACCATTCCCTTATGTGCATTTGCCTTGATAAAAATAAATCTTGATTGACTCAGGTGCAGAAATTAGGAGTTGCCTTGAATATGTTTGTTTGTTTGTTCTCAAGCATAAATTATGTTTGAACAATAAGGGCATGCCTCTCCGAAGGGCTGAGCACCTGCAGCTCACATTCCACTCAGCTGGAACTATAAATGCCAAGCAGCTCTGAAAAGCCAAGGTTGTAACTATTTCATTGGATGGGATTTATCCAAACAGTATCAATCAATAACTAAATCTCAGTATAGGGCTGCCTTTCCCTTTCCAACTTACTATGTTTACTTAGAGGCCTAGATTCCGTGTAAAACATTCAGAATAATTTTGTTTAATTAAAAGACTGCAGTGAAAGGAAAGAAAGGCAAAGATGCGCCTTGTTCTGCAGTACAATAAAAGATAAGTAAATACAATTCCAGTTAATTATCCATCACTCCATACAGAGACTTCTACTTAATCTAATCACTGGTTAATTAGATTGTATGTTTTATTTGATCAAATCTACTGTAACCAAATAATCTGTATTTGCATTGTGCTTTGTTTATTTTGATGATTTTCTATGATTAAAAAGGTCACTGTCAGGTCAATTTAGGCCTGTATTTGTTGTTAAATAAAACAGGATTTCACATTACTGGAAGATATTTCTACAGAGCCCAATTAGAGGCTCAGACTTTTAGAGCTTTGCAAGTACC